CTGCATATACCAGGTTCGTCCTCAAAGTGCGTCAATTTTCCACGAGCCTTATCCATGGCTGCGTGTGTAAGGCTTTGTCCTGCATAGGAGGTTTTTGTTCTTTACTCCAGTCACTTAAGAGGCCATTTTCACGCAGTCAAGAGCAACGAAACCCGTAGAAATCCGACTTGCGTATTACCTTGCAGGCTCTTCGTGGGCCGCTAAACCGTCGTTCCTCCAGAAATAAATACGATTCAGAAGGAAAAAGGGGATTTTCTTGTGCGGCTAGAGCTGCATCTAGGGCATCCAGTGAAGCTGGATGCTTCCTTTCCTATCTCCCTCAAGATCCGAACAAGAAACCTAGGTCTCATGTCTGGGGGCCAGATGTTATTGCAAGCACCAGTGAAGCTGCCGCAGAAGCAGCAACTGCTTTGGGGAACCCGCGAGACTTTCTTGAGTAACCAAATTCCTGATGACTTTAGCTGAAGCTAGCCTCCTGTCTTACCTTTATGCAATATCACGTGCAGAAAGGCTTTCCCTTCACTTGAAATTCACCTGAAGCCCCTAGGGATCAGCAGTCCATTTATGATGAAATGACACCCTTCTTCAAGTAAGTAGGGTAGGTATGACTTAGAGCTTTTATGTGTGATTTTCAGGCAAAGAAAACGTTCAAAGGGTCTTGCCAGGTCTAAGCTAGTGTCACCACTGTCAGCACTACCTAAAGGCAGAAAGCCCCTACAAATTAGTCAGGAAATCCTTCGGGGAACTCGAACAAATGGATGCAAAGTGAATGACGACAGCTCCAGCAGCGTTCCGCAGAGTGAACATGAGCCTTTTCGTTCAGAGGCACCGCTCCGAATCGCCTTCATCACTGCTCCGAGGTCCCTTGATGTAGAGCGAGAGTTGTATTCCGGTAACAACTCCACTATTCAGGAAGACCTAGGTAGAACAGCTGTCCAGCCTGAAGAAAAAAACGTTCCGAAAACCTGCAAAAGCCTCCAAGGCAAATATATATCTTGCAGCCAGGAGAAAAATCCTGTTGAGGCGACTTCAAACCCTACCGATGTCATGCGCCAGGACACGAAAAGACGCAACAGTTACGCTGGCGATGATGGTTTTTGGAGGAAAAGCCGCAAGGCCATATGGCCATACAAAGCATCATCAGTTGCGTGCCAAGATCCTATTAATTACTCTTTTGCGGTAAACGAAGAACCCGTAGCTGTAAAGCAATTGTGTCAGCTCAGCCATCCTGGGCGGGAGCGGTCTCGTCAATGGCACAACAGCAGGATGAAAAAATGCAGAGATATACCAAAGGAAGGCAACTCTCATGCAATCAATAGTAGGAATTCCGCAATGTATACCGGAATCGCAAGGAAGGAAGACATTGACACCGAAAAAAACCAGACCTACGTTTGCAGCTCAAAGTTTCATGGATACAGCAGACCTATTGGTCCCGATGGTTATGAAAGGCTTCGCGCCGGCCCTCCTGTT